AGCCACAGGGTCTCACTGAGTTGCTTAGTGCCTCGATAAAATTACTGAGGGTGGTTTTTTGAACTCGCGATCCTCCTGCCTCCATCTCACAAGCCGCTGGGATTACAGGCACATGCTATCGCGCCTGGCCCCTGCAAGCATTTTAAAAAAATAAACATCATACAAATACGTTTGGTCTCAGACATATTTGCCCCAATAGAAGCAAATATGCCCCAACTAGAAGCCATTAATTTAGTAGGGCAAAAGCAGACACTCTCAGATTAGCAAAGATAATACACGTTTTTCTTTCGGACAATAATATAAATTCTTAAAACACGTACCCCAGCAGAATTCTGTATTAGTAAACAATTGAGAACATTTAAAAAGTTTTAACAAACAGCATAACAAAAGGAAGATAGGGAAACTGTTAAACATCGAAAGAGTCATTAAGAGTCATATCAATGAAATACAAAATATGGAGCTTGTTTAGATCTTCCTTTTCGTAAACCAACTGTGAAACAGCATTTTGGAGATAATCTGGGAAATGTGAAGCGGACCCTGTCATATTAACAAATTATTAATTTAGAAATGTATAATAATAGTATGTAGATTATGCTTAAGACAAAATACTTAGAAATATCTCCTAAAGTATTTTCTGTACAATGAATGAGACTTGATTAAAAATCTTTAGAAACAAAAGTATGGCAGCGAGACAAGAAAAGTAATCAAACCAATTAAAAAAAAGATTAATAAAATCCTGGCGAATCGAATACAAAAGCATATAAAAAAAAATTGTGCACCATGATCATGTAGGATTCATCCCTGAGATGCAAGGCTGGTTCAATACACAGAAATCAATAAATACTTTTCACCACATCAATAGACTTAAAGACAAGAACCATATGATCATCTCAATAGATGCAGAAAAAGCATTTGACAAAGTATAGCAACACTTTATGTTCAAAACACTAGAAAAACTAGGGATAACAGGTACTTACCTCAACATTGTAAAAGCTATATATGCTAAACCTCAGGCTAGCATCATCCTAAATGGAGAAAAACTGAAGGCATTCCCTCTAAAATCTGGAACAAGACAGGGATGCCCTCT